AATCCGCAGCCCCTCCAGTTGCTGCAAAACTGTGAAGGAGAAACTGAGGGAACTCGAGACAGCCATCCAAACGCAGCTGGATACACTGATGAACGTGCAGGAGTCTCACACAGAGAGACTGATCCAGGTAGCCAAGGAACACTCCGAAACACTTGAGAAAACACTGCAGCTCCATATGCAGGCACTGAAACAAACAAGCACCAAACAGGTCCAGATCCTGACGGAGCAGACCAACCTGAACAAAGCCATAGTGAGCAATCACAAGCTGCTAACCAAGGAACAAGAAAAACAGAAAGCTACATATGCAGACATTGTCAAAAGTCAGTGCCAGGAAGTCAAGAGGTCGCTTGAAATTACAATGGAGAAGCTCCCAAGCAGCTCTAAGCACAGTGGGCCCTCAGGGGCAACCAAGGAGGTTGCCAGCTTCCTGGATGCATTCATGGACAAGGAGAGGCGCAAGTGCAATATTGTGGTGCACAACCTCAGAGAGGCCGAGGGGGACACTCATGATGACAGGATGGCAGCTGACAGGGCTAGACTGGCAGCTTTGTTTAGAGAAACTCTCAGGCTGAAGGTCAGTATCACTAACTCATTCAGGGCTGGCAAATTCAACCCAGACAGGCCCAGACTTCTTATTGCCACTGTGGACTCTGAAGCGACCAAGTGGGAGATCATCAAGCTGGCGCCACAGCTGAGAAACAGCCCAGGATTTTCCAACATCTATGTAAACCCGGACAGAACAAAGGAAGAAAGGGAGCAGGGGAAAAAACTGCGGCAGGAGCTGGCCACCAGGAGAGCAAATGGTGAAGAAAACCTGGTGATTAGAAGGGGAAAGATCATCCCACTCGCTGGCCACCCTGCAGGTGCCACCCCTAGCCAGGGTCTGGTGGGCCCCGGGTCTCCTCTGCCGGCGGACGTTGGAAACCGGCGCGAGCTGGCGGACGGCGGTGCTGAAAACCGGCATGTACCGGCGGACAACGGTGCTGAAAACCGGCGTGTGCGGCGTGTGCCGGCGGGCGGCGGTGCCGGGAGCCGGCGTGCGCCGGCGGACGACGGTGCTGGAAACCGGCGTGTGCCGGCGGACAGTGATGCTGGCGGCCGGCGTGTGCCGTCGGAGAGCGATGCTGGCAGCCGGCGTGTGCCGGCGGACAGCGATGATGGCGGCCGGCGTGTGCCGGCGGGCGGCGGCGCTGGGGACCGGCCTGTGCCGGCGGACGGCGGCGCTGGGGACCGGCGTGTGCTAGCTGACGGCGAAACCGCTGCCACCGACGGCGATCGGCAAACGCAAGGGATATGACAATCACGTGGGAAACGAGCACTGTCGATCCTGTACACCAACGCCGACCAGTATTTAAACAAGCGTGATGATCTTTGTGCGCGGATAGCTGGGACGGAGCCTGACATCATGCTCATCGCAGAAGTTTTACCCAAAGTCCAGGTCTCCGCGGTGTCTGCTGTACGCCTTGCCATTCCTGGTTACAAAGTTTATTTAAGTTTCATTCCTGATGTTCTATGTTTAAGTACTGTAAGGCCCCGTGGCATCTGCATTTATGTTCGCGACTCCTTGCCCTGTTCCGAAGTTAAGTTTCTTGCCAGTCCTTTCCGCGAACAACTGTGGGTGAACATCCGTCTGGCAGGCAGCGACATTCTGTTGATTGGGTGCATATATAGGAGCCCATCCAGCCCACTGGAATCAACCAGCCAGCTGAGCCATCTGTTGGATCTCGTCGCCGCCTCACGACCTTCACACCTGCTGATTACCGGCGACTTCAACGCTCCCGACATCGACTGGGCGGCTGAGGTATCAAGGGCACCAACTGGGCATTGGTCGCACGAGCTTCTAGAACTCTTTAGGGACCACTACCTCACTCAACACGTGCTGTCCCCAACGAGATACCGCCCCGGACAGACGCCGCACGTCCTGGACCTCGTGCTGACCAACGAGGAAGGCATGGTCCTCGACCTCCGCAGCCATCCGCCACTCGGCAGTAGCGACCACGTCGTCCTGACGTTCACCCTGCGGTGTTACGCTGAAGTCGAGCAAGTGACAACACTGAAACCGGCACTCCACCGCGGCGACTATGGGGCGATGGTCCAAATGGCGCGAGAGGCGACCTGGCCTGTCTCTGATGGCTGCACTGTTGACCAACACTACCGAGCGTTTCAAGAAGTCCTGGACGGCATCTGCGAGCGCGGCATCCCTAGGCAGCACCCAGGTGGCAGGAAGCGAAACCTGTACATGACGCGCGAGGCCCTGACGCTGCAGAACCGTAAGAAGAGAATGTGGAAGAGATACCTACTAACCCAAGATACCCTGGACTACTGCCGATTCTCTCGAACCAGGAACCAGTTGAAGGGACTGGTTAGACGTCTCCGCAGGAATTTTGAGCGGCAACTGGTGGAGAACCTGCCGGAAAACCCGAAGGCATTTTGGCGTTATGTGCACTCCCGCCTGACCACCAGAACAAGAGTGGACGACCTCGTCACTGAGAATGGGGATATGGCGTGCACGGACGCAGCTAAAGCCAGGGCTCTGGCGGAAGCTTACAGCAGTGTGTACTGCTGGGATGAAGACCCGGCTGACGTTCCAGCAATGAATCCCCAGTATGGAGGCCCAACGTTGGAGGAGCTGCGGGTGACGCCGGGGCAAGTGGAGGGTAAACTCCGCGACCTACGCCCGGCAGCATCACCAGGCCCTGACGCAGTCCATCCTAGGGTGTTGCGCGAGCTGGCTGCCCCCCTGTGTGGTCCCTTGACAGACCTCTTCAACCACTCCTTGGCAGACGGAAGAGTCCCAAGAGATTGGAAGCTAGGTCAAGTTGTCCCCATTTACAAAAAGGGACCTCGTAGCGATCCTTCCAATTACCGTCCCGTCAGCCTGACGTCCGTGACGGCGAAAGTGTTGGAGTCGCTCGTGCGTGACGCCCTGTTCGAGCACATGACAGTGACAGGCCAGCTAACTGAATGCCAGCACGGGTTCCGCCCGGGGCGCTCCTGCGCAACGCAGCTTCTCAGCACACTGGAGGAGTGGACTTGGCTGATGGAGGAGGGCGAGCCGGTTGACGTCGCCTACTTGGACTTCCGACGCGCCTTCGATTCAGTGCCTCACCTGCGTCTTCTCCAGAAGCTCCACGACATGGGCGTTAGGGGACGCCTCCTCGAGTGGCTTCGCTCTTTCCTGACAGAGAGAAAGCAAAGGGTCACTGTCAACGGCAGCTTCTCGGACTGGGTCGCAGTCGGCAGCGGCATCCCGCAGGGCACAGTTTTGGGACCAGTGCTCTTCATCGCTTTTGTCAATGACCTACCTGGCTGCGTAGAGAGCGCATGCAAGCTCTTCGCCGATGACACGAAGGTGTACGTCGGAGCGGGCACCGAGATCGGCCGCAGAAGGCTCCAGCAGGATTTGGACGCCCTGGCGGCCTGGTCTCGGAAGTGGAAGCTGCCGTTCAACCCATCCAAGTGCACAGTGCTTCACCTGGGCAGCCAAAACGTGCGGGCGAAGTACACGATCGAAGGTGCTGCATTGAAGACTGTTGACACGGAAAGAGACTTGGGGGTCCAGATGGACAGACTGCTTAAATTCAGGGAGCAGGCGGCGACCGCCATTGGCAAGGCCAACAGAACTCTCGGCCTGATCAAGCACAGCTTCGTCCACATCGATTCCAAGACACTTCCTCTGCTGTATAAGACAATGGTTCGCCCGCACCTAGAGTACTGCAATCAAGTATGGGGCCCGTTCAACACGACCGACGTGAGGCTGGTGGAGCGGGTTCAGCGACGGGCTACGCGCCTTGTCCCTGGACTTCGGCATCTGCCTTACGAAGAACGACTGAAGAGTCTTAAACTTCCCTCCCTCCAGTACCGCCGTCGACGCGGAGATATGATCACGATGTTCAACATCATGCATGGACGCTCCGGCCTGGACAAGGACGACTTCTTCTCGCCCGCCCCAAGTACACGCACCCGCGGCCACCGACTCAAGGTGGCCAAGAAGCCAGCGGTCAGCCGCGTCCGGCGCAACCACTTCGCCACCCGGGTTGTGTCGGACTGGAACGCCCTACCAGAAGAAGTTGTCTGCTCGCCATCGACAAATGTTTTCAAGAACCGGCTGGACAAACACTGGATGAACTATGCCTTCATCGCTCCACAATAGATAAGACTGTTAATGCTACCCGAGCTCTTTACGACGGATCCACCGGGCAATCCTAGTGCCTTCAATGATCCCCAAATATCAGGTATCAGGTATCAGGTATCAGGTGTCTGCATGCTTTTGCCTGTTTGAAATGCATACTGTCTCAGTCTTGCCTGGACGTGCTAGGACTTAGTAAACTTTGATATGTGGGGTTCATGATCAAACGTATTGCAGTAATCAGACTGTTTTCAAGAAGCCTTCCACACTTTTGAATGCTGTAAAAAGCTCTCTCTCCCTCACTCTCTCTCTCTGTCTCTGTCTCTGTCTCTGTCTCTGTCTCTGTCTCTGTCTCTGTCTGTCTCTGTTTCTGTTTCTGTTTCTGTTTCTGTCTCTGTTTCAGCCTGGTCAACTGTGCCATTGCCTTAAGATGGTGCTGCTAGGCAACAGTGTACTGCCTCCTCTGGTGGATGGAGTGGGCGTGGGGTGCCAAAGCTCAGTTATACATGTACATTTCACCATTAATTAATAGATACATAGATATATCTTCTATTTTTAGCAGATGCAGCTGCTAAAAATAGCAGTTTTAATAATATTTGGGGCTTCCTGAATCAGCAAGATTTACAGCATTGTTCCATAAAGTTTTTAGGCAATTGATAGGTTCATTTGAAAATGTGAGAATTGTAGTATAGAAATTGCATGCAAAATAGTGTGTTTCTGAGTGAAAGATGAATGTTTGACCAGTTTTCAAACAGTACTTTTTACCGTACCCATTTTTAGCAGATTCGTACCCATTTTTAGCAGAATTCTGCTAAAAATAGCAGACTGCTAAAAATGGCAGATTTTACCATAGTTTCCCCGACTGTTACAGGCACCAAGAGCCAAAATGATGGAGGAGGTGGGTGGGGAGCCATGTCCTTCCCACCTGGGGCCGTCAGCAGTTGCAGAGGACCATGAGCTCACCGAGCCGACACCATCACTGGCTGACTGCAGCCCGCTCAAGAGCCTGGGGCCGACCCTGCACAGCCTGCTGTTGGCAGACACCCACCTGCCGGCCAAACGGAGTGAGCTGGGCCTAACTGACGTCCATTACCTAGAGCCTCTTCCACTGGCTACTGTTGCTGCCCCGGTGGCTCCCGAGCCTACTGCCCAGCAGGCTCCTGCTGGTTGCTCGGTCATCATGGGCTACCTGAGTAAGCCTGACGAGCCAGGTGGACAGTCGCAGATGTCGGTCTCCACAGACACTGAGGACCCGGACGACCCCGCCGCACTGCCGCCGGCGCTGCCCGACCTCTCGCAGACCTGTCTGGTGTGCGGAGTGACGGCGGAGCGCGGGCGGGCGCGGTGTCTGCGGACGGCCGAGCCGCTGCCGGCCAGCGGCTCGGCCTACCTGTCGTTCGTCGGCGCGCTGCTGTCGGCCGAACTGGAGCCGGGCGCGCTGGACCGTCTGGAGGTGATCTGTCCCGACTGCCATGACCTGCTGGTCACCATCGACGACCTCGAGCAGCGCGTCGCCGCCATGAAGAACAGCGTGCGCAGCCAGTTCCGCGAGTGGTGGCGCGCCGCGGCGGACGACGCTGCCGGCGCCGGCCCGGAGCTGCGCCGCCGCGGCCGGCGCGCCGCCGCCGCCGGAGCCGGCCGCCGCCCGGGGCCGCAGCCGGACGTGAGGGGCACGGTGACGGAGGCCGACCCGGCGGCGGATGACGAGTTCCGACCCAGCAAACGGCGCAAGGTCAGGAACGCGGCATGTAGGGGTCGGGGCTGGAAGAGGGCATGGTGAGCTGCATCAGGGCCACCGCAGCAAGCCCCCAAAATAAATCGTTCAAGTTCCACATAATTGCAAAGCCGGACATGGTCCGTCCCAGTGATTCATAATTTGACTTGAACTACGTGCAGTAGCTCCCACTATCTGCAACTGCATACCATCCGCGGCGGATATTGAGTGCTGGGGAAAGCCAAAACCGATCTCTGACCATCGAGAATGCTGCTACTTGCTCCTTCCTTTGACACAAAGTTTGAAATCGACAAGCTTACCGATTGTAACTGGATCATTAAAAAGTTCATATAAAACAGCTAATTCTATTGTTATTGATTGCATTTCCATTTCCTAGGTACATATCAAACTTGTTATAATATTACGGCCTGAACTCTGAGAAAAACATGAGTGCTTACACTAACCCCTCACCGCAGAACGCTCCCAAGTCCGGTGCGCGGCGCGCCAAGTCCGGTATGGCGAGCGAGAGGAAGATCGCGAAGTCCAAGAACCTGGTGTGCACGCGGTGTCCGTTCTACACGTTCGACCGTGACGCGCTGCGGGCGCACATCGCCTCCGTGCACGCCGGCGAGAAGGTGCACAGCTGCGAGGTCTGTCACAAACGGTTCACCTACGAGGACTCGCTGAAACGGCACATGAACCAACACCAGCACTTCATCAAGGAGTTCCGCTGTCAGGTGAGGCTGCTTGTTTTGAGTTTAACCACGACTAGCCGTTGCTTGGACTATTGTCGGACCGAGACGGTGCATCTGCCAGTTAGTGAGCTGTCCTCGACCTTTGGGATAATAGTCGATAGCTTCGGGAGTCAAGCTTGATGTTTGTGCGGAAAGGGAGGGACGAGGAATTGGACAGTGTCTTCGTTCTGGGTTCGTAACTTGATGTTCGGTTCAAGATTCTTTCAGATGCCTACTAGGTCTGCACCTGTTCTGTTTCGGTCAATGAGGTATCGAGATGTTGTTGCCGTTCTATCGGCGTATTGTGTCAGTTCTTCCCAGCTATTCACAATGGTCAGCCCAGCCAGGAATGAGACTGTTAAGAACCCTGTGGGCTCGCTGACCTCCCAATGCTCGATCAGGCAACATTCTTGTCCGTTTAAATGGCTAACGAGCTGTCCAGCTCTGGCTGATTATTTTCTCCATTCCGTCTCTGGCAGCCGTGCGGTGAGCAGTTTGTGAATCGGTCGGAACTGCTGCTGCACCGTCAGCTGTACCTGCACGGCGCGCAGGGCTCCCCGCCGCCGCCGGAGGAGCCCGCCGCCGCCGAGGCCGACTGCGCGCTCCAGTTCGCCTGTCCCGACTGCGGCCTGGTGCACACGCTGCGTGACTCGGAGCAGCAGCCCCGGCCGCCGGCCTGCCAGTGCGGCCGACAGATGGACATCGCCTCCGTGCTGCGGCTCTTCCCGAACGGCGGCGGCAACGGCGCCTGCCTGGCGTGCCATCAGTCGTGCGACGGCCCCGACGCGATGGAGAGGCACCTGGCGGAGGTGCATGGAGCCGGTGAGTCGCCGCCCGGCCGCCGCGGCGCCACGGGGATGCCAATCGGCTCGCTCACAGTGGGATCAGCACTCAGCAGCGATCGGTGCTTAGGCGATTTTCTTGACCAATAAATCAAGGACTACACGGATAGGGTACCCGATTGGAGGGGTTGTCAGAACCTATGCATTTGCGCTACTCTCTCCGTTAATCACAGGCTTAGTCTCTGTCAAAGTATTAAAACTTAAATTCCTTAAAAAATGCAACAAATGCTGGTGCCCATAGACCACCCAGGAACCATGTCGGTTGTCTCGCCACCTCCATGCGACGCTCATGACGCCCCTCCCCCTCCCCCTTTCCGCCCAGGTGACGTGGTGTGCTCGCTGTGTGGCAGCCGTTTCGCGCACCTGGACCATTTCCAGCTGCACGCGCTGTTCCACTCCACACTGGAGGAGTTTGCGTGCGAGCAGTGCCCGTTCCGCACGTACAGTCCGGCGCGCTTTGCCAGCCACCGGCACGAGCCGGCGCCGGCCGCCGAGCGACCCGTCAGCGACGAGGCGATCGTGGCGGCGGTGCGCAACAACCCGCCGGGCCGGCGCGGCCGACCGCGCAAGGACGCGCCGCCCGAGCCGCCGGCCTTCCACCGGTGCCCGATCTGCAGCAAGGAGCTGTCGTCGCTGACCAACCTCAAGAACCACATGGTGCTCCATTCGGACGTGCACGAGCACAAGTGTCCGGTCTGCGGACGCAGGTGGGTGGGGACTGGAGGGAGGGGGGGGGGGGGGGCACGTGGAGTGAGGGGACCGAATGGGGTAGGTGGGGAGAGGAAGAGGGGAACAATGTCATGTGTTGTGATGTAGGTGTGTTGTGTTGGGTGTGTTGGAGGTTCATGTGTCTTGGGGCTCCTTTAACGGTTGAATTAATAGTTCGACCTTTTAACTAATTCATCAATCACTTATTGGTCAAACAATGCCATCGTTTCCAGATGATGACTTCACTTGGATGACGTTGAATCAGACGTCGTGCAGACTCGACGACATGCTTTTAAAGTCTTTTACCACATGCCGAGATATCCCTTTAACATTAGCACGTGCATTTGGGAAATGGCTTCGGCCCGCCTCGGCTAATGTTGAAGGTATTTGGGAAACGATTCGGCCCTAGGGCTTTTTGATTTTCCCAGACAAAATTTTACTGAATATTCTGAGTGGAAGAACCAATTTCAAAGAAGATATTTACGGATTGTGTGTTCACTAACAGAAACAGCAAAAGTAAGTGACTGCGTGTGTACTTACTTTTGCTGTCAACGGAATTCAACTAAACAAGGTTATCGTTCCAATGCCAATGTATTTATTGCTGCAGAACATGGTCGGAATAATCATTATTTCTACATAATGCACGCAAAAAAACGAACAATTTAAATGCGTGAAGCATCTTAACGTGCCACAATGAAACATTTAATATTAATATAACGAGGCTTGAAATGATCTCACGCATGTCAAAGTGTTTTTATTTTAGGCAAAATAAATATCTAAAACAGTAAAACAAGCTTTCGGCATTACGCCATCATCAAGTTTGAATAAATTAACATGTTTTTGATTTTCAAAAGCTAGAGCACAATCATATTGTTCCAGGCATCCTCATAGCAGCTCACTTTTTTAAACGTATTGCAATACGTTGCAAATAGTGTGGTACATTGCACATGGCAAGTAAATAATGTACAACAATGTATCATTACGTACGCTACAACATGACATGCACACAATATATCATAGGTACAACAAGGTCAATAAATCTCATCTCAACATCAGCCGCATACATCATCAACACCCGGTTGCAGTAAACATTGACATTATAATCATATTGAAAAACATTGCCGCTGTTCTTAGCTCGATTCCAGTCAACCAGTCGTGAGTCGGGCAAGTCAGTTCGGTGCATGTGTACGTGTGCGTGTGCGTGGTAGAGTAAACATGTGAAACAAAGGGTAGAGATAAGTGAGTGAGTGTATAAGTTTGTGAGAGAGTGAGTGAGTGAGAGAGTGAGTGTGTGAGTGAGTGAGGGGTGAGTGAATGAGAGAGAAGTGTGTGTGTGTGTGTGTGTGTGTGTGTGTGTGTGTGTGTGTGTGTGTGTGTGTGCGTGTGTGTGTGTGTGTGTGTGTGTGTGTGGGGGTGTGTGTGTGTGTGTGTGTGTGTGTGTGTGTGTGTGTTTCACACTTTCGGATCTTCGCACACTGCTGAGTCATGTTCTTACTAACAATTTCGTGCGCTTCGGATCTAAAATATTCAAGCAAACGTCAGGGATCGCGATGGGAAACAGGATAGCCCCTCCCGTGGCGATCACCTTTATGCATATACTAGAGACTGGATTTATGTCGAGCTTGGAATTTGCCCCTGTCCTTTACTTACGCTACATTGACGATATTGTCGGGGTCTGGACACATGGGATTGATCGCCTGAACCATTTTTTCAACTGTATTAATGCTTACAACCGATCCATAAGCTTCACAATGGAGTCTACATTCAGCACCGGTCAACTTCCTTTCTTAGATACCCTCATAACAGTATACCCCACCGGTGAGTACACCACGGAATTATACTTTAAACCGATGGCAGCCCCGATCATTCTCCACTTTACGTCCGCCCACCCCATTAGTACCAAGAAGGCCGTTCTCAATTCCCAGATCAAGCGAGCGATAAGGGTGTCATCTGACGACCGAACGAGGGATCGCAGCGTAAAGCGGGTAAAACTTCTGTTTGAGCAGAACGGGTACCCAACAGCCATGTTAGACACGAGCATAAAGAATAACCTTCGCAAGCGTAGTGAACGTAAAACTCGGCGCAACAAAGAAAACGAGATATTCATGCGGCTTCCCTATTTAGACGAAAACGTCGTTAGAAGAGTCAATGGTGTTTTGAGAAGATCTAAAACTAATATCAAAGTAGCCTGGATTAGTGGTCCCACAATAGGAAACAAACTTATCTCTTCCGCCTTCTCTAAACCGCCCTGCCCAGCCGGGACTAAGCACTGTCACACCTGTGAGAGTGGGCTGAAGGGTAAGTGTACTAAGAAAAACATAGTCTATAAAATTACCTGTAGCCTCTGTGAAAGAAACGGACGAACTGAATTTTATATCGGAGAAAGCATCCGCCCTGTACGTTATCGATTCAACGAGCACCTAAGTGACGCTCGCCTGAGAAAACCAGACACCCCACTAGGTGAACATATTGCTGATTCGCACTTTAACGCAAGTAGCACTGAAATCAACTCCGCCTTCACTATTGATATAATCGGTTGGGGACGGGATTCTGCTGAACTAAAAATCACTGAATCCATCAAAATTAGAGACCTAAGGCCCACATTAAACATGATGAAAAGCTCATGGCCCCTCGCTCGTAAACCATAGGTCATAACACACACACACACACACACACACACACACACACACACACACACACACACACACACACACACACACACACACACACACACGCACACACACACACACACACACACACACACACACACACACACACACACACACACACTTCTCTCTCATTCACTCACCCCTCACTCACTCACACACTCACTCTCTCACTCACTCACTCTCTCACAAACTTATACACTCACTCACTTATCTCTACCCTTTGTTTCACATGTTTACTCTACCACGCACACGCACACGTACACATGCACCGAACTGACTTGCCCGACTCACGACTGGTTGACTGGAATCGAGCTAAGAACAGCGGCAATGTTTTTCAATATGATTATAATGTCAATGTTTACTGCAACCGGGTGTTGATGATGTATGCGGCTGATGTTGAGATGAGATTTATTGACCTTGTTGTACCTATGATATATTGTGTGCATGTCATGTTGTAGCGTACGTAATGATACATTGTTGTACATTATTTACTTGCCATGTGCAATGTACCACACTATTTGCAACGTATTGCAATACGTTTAAAAAAGTGAGCTGCTATGAGGATGCCTGGAACAATATGATTGTGCTCTAGCTTTTGAAAATCAAAAACATGTTAATTTATTCAAACTTGATGATGGCGTAATGCCGAAAGCTTGTTTTACTGTTTTAGATATTTATTTTGCCTAAAATAAAAACACTTTGACATGCGTGAGATCATTTCAAGCCTCGTTATATTAATAATAATCATGTCATCCATCCTCGCCCACATAGAAACATTTAATATTGTTCCAGCTGGGATCCAAGACGCGTTTGATTCAGCGTTTCACCCAATTTTTAGTTTTCCTCACGGTTTCCTCACTCCTGCTGGACTCCATATCTTTATTCTAACTTCTGGCGTTTCACCATCTTCATCCTCAGCTTTTTCAAACCCTAAATAAGGGGGAATTAGGAATTTCATCTTTCATACTCAACGGCCAGCGCCACCCAATAATGAAAAACACAAAAAATAATCGCGGTGACTATAAATATGAACATAATATTAATAGAATATTAACACCATATTAAGAATATTGTATATAATACCAAAATGATATGATATTAACTGCTGCGCCGGTACGGCATGTGGTAAATCTCTTCCCAACCTTGGGCTGTGAAAATGCAGTTTTATTCACCTCGGTTTTTTGCTACGGACCTCGTGCCTACCGGCACTCGGTCCTCCGCACAAAAACCTCGGTGAATAAAACGCATTTTCCCAGCCCCGGTCGGGAATATATATTGTCGGTCTCTTGTCAAACTGTCTGAAACATTTTCGTCTGATCAACTTATGTCCAGAATGCCTCTGGATGATCGAGATATTTGCAATGACTCAAACACATTGAAACTGTGTCAAACACACTGAAACAAACACACTGATACTGATTTGTTTCGGGCCTGGTTTTAAAGTTTTGTGCGACGTTTGCTGCAGATCAGCGACTATCATACACTTCAGTTACTGTCAGAAAACTAGAAGCGTTTGTGTTCTTTCTGCAGGTTCAAGCTGCGAAAATACCTCAACACGCACCTGACGCTGCACACTGGCGTGCGGCAGTTCAAATGTACTGTATGTGGAAAAGACTTCAATCAGAAGTGTGAACTCAACCGGCACATGCGCTACCACAACGGTGAGTCGCCGACGAGCGCTAGTTAGGTGGGTGTGCCTCCCGGGTATTGCCGAATCATGCAACTGCGGTGGCCTCACACGGGTGTATTTCAGTTATCCGGCGGGGTTTCCGCTCGGCGGAGTGAGACGGCGCCGGCCGCCACGTGTGGGCCGTATTTTCCATATATCCACCGCGGTGGGCGGCTGCCTGATTGCGCCGGACCGAGAAATCTGCTTTGGTGCGCGTCGGCGTTTCGAGATGGACCCCTGATAGGCGACATTTATATCGAAACTTCTCGTCCCGAGCGGCGTCAAAGATGAACGTTTCGCATTTGCCTGAGTTTGGCGGCGCTTTGTTAAATTACTCAAAGTTCGCTTCTTAAAATCCATCGTAAAGCCTCTTAGTCAAAGTCTGAGGAAATGTTCATCGTCTTAGATCGCCTTAGCTGATTTTACGTCTGGCAATTTGGTGCGGCGTTCTCTAAGCTGGGGCTGTCTGGTGAAGTTAGCAGCGCTGGTCGTCATCTTTGTGGGGTGCCAGGTGCAGTAGCGCGTGGCGCCGGCACTGTGTCCGGGAAGAGCCGTGCCAGACCCGTCCAGTGGGGTCTGGGTTCTGTGCGAGTACCCGAGAGGAGTTTTGAAAGTCGGGCATGTCAGTGTGTTCCTAACCCCAGATACGTGACCTTTGTTCGCCAGGAGACATGACGCACGTCTGTGAGTTCTGCGGCAAAAGGTTCAGGGAGGCCAACGGACTCAAATTCCACCTCCAGGTTAGTGGTCAGTAGTGAAGGTATTGTCATTACTTACCGAATGCTTACCAGTTTTTCTTGATGACTGTGATTAAGCTCTAAATTTGCCATCGATGGATATGTGTCGTGAATTTAGTGTTAGCGCTCCGATTAAAGACGGCACACAACGCACATACTTCAAAACATTTAATGCCACCACTTGCCACTGGCTGAACTTGACTTTCTTCACTGTTCCATGGCGTGCCTGCGTTTTCAGACGCACACCGGGGAGCGACCGTTCTCGTGTGACCAGTGCGGGAAGGCGCTGCGGAGCGCCTCCAAGCTGCGGGTCCACCAGCGCACCCACACTGGCGAGAAACCGTACAAATGTGAGTGGACCGGGCTGCGTCAGACTGACAGAGTAGGACTGACAAACTGAATCACAGACTGACTGAGACTGAGTCAGACTGACACCCACACCGTGCAAATGTGAGTGGACCGGGCCTAGTGTGTCAGACTGACGTGTGAGACTGAGACTGAGTCAGATTGTCAAATTCGCAGACTGACAGACAAGCCTGGACGCCGTGCGGCCGGACAGGGCCACAAGTGACATCCGGGTCGAGTGATTTCCCCACTGATGAACCAGGAATTGATATAGATTCTTATCATTGTGCAAATTCCGCATGATCGGTTTGCGTTCCTAAACGGTGGCTCAAGATGGTCGAATTTCATCTCGCATATAATCGTCTCAGTGACCGTAACCTCCATGATCCGTGTATCTCGAAATCCGGTCTAAATTTACACTGTGATGCGTCTGTCTGTCATGCGGAGCGGTCGTCGCGGTCCGGACCGCCGTCGGTGGACGGGGTCTGGTCCGGCCCGAGCGCCGCTCCGTTACGATGGGAACGGCCGGCCGGTGTGGAGGGCTGGCCGGCCGGCGGACGGGCCTATATGCCGTGCCGGTGACCCGTGTGCCCACTCCGACCGGCCGTGGTGCCGTGTGGACGGTCGGGTGGATAGGGGACTGTGAGCAGACTGAGAGGGAGACGTGTCCACTTTGGACAGTGATGGGGGAGGTGGGATGTGTTTGAAACAAACTCGACGGAGGGCGGAGCTTTGACGCGTCATGACGACATCTAACCGAGCATTTCAAAGCTATCGTAGTCACGACCAGGGTCGTGAATATGCAGCGAATGATGGGCTGATGATGTGCCTCTGATCCGGGTTACCTTTGGTGGGTTACCTGCCGCCCGCCCGCCCGTTGCTCCGCCCTCGCGGCACGAGGTTAAATCGGACCGGGATCGAACGGCGCACGCCCTCGCAGAGTACAGAGACCACCGGTCTGCCACACCACCCGCTCCGGCTCACCGCAACGGGCCCTCTGCCGGCCGGCCGGCGGCCCTGCAACTTTAACGACGCCTATCGACTGACGGGCTGGCCGCCAGGACGCGTACAAGTTACTCGCGGCGCGCCGAGCGGGCCAGATTGGTCGGACTCTGTCGGCGCCCAGAGCTCACGCGGAGACTTAATCTTCGTTAGTCCGAGCTAATAGTGCCGCGGCCGCCGAGTTCACACGGCAGGCGCTGACGTTAGCGGACCGCTGTGTGGGGAAGGATTTTAACGAGTTTGGACGCTTATGGAATGCGCCTCAGCGAAATTATAATGAATAGGAACATATTTCGAGATGGGGTCATGGACATAAGTGTCATCCCGTCATGCGAAGCTAGCGGGCTGCAAATTCCAGATTTATTACTTTGTGGATTTTGTTCTCTTCTCAGGTTAATTGACAAGTCCCTGGTGTTAAACCACGCACGCAGCATGACACTTTGATTCTTTGCTTTGCAATTATGAAAGAGTTACGCGCGGCGCCTCGTACTTAATCGATGTATTCTTCAAACATTAATATCAGATAAGTTTCGTTCCACTGTGTCACCGTTCATCACTACCCCATTGTTTTATTACGCCGGGCCGGGCCTGTACCCTCGGAGTTTGTTTTATTCTCGGCTGGCGCTGCCTAGGGTTCGTTACGACATGCCGGTGGGCGTTTTAATCTGGTTATTGACTCCCGGCTGGAGGGGCCCTGTCCGTCCCAATTGTACGGCCGGAGCGGCAGACAGCGCCGGAGGTGGTCTCCGATATATCTCCGGTCGGGACGGGATAGGTACTGACGTTACGACGGCGCTAACCTGTGACCACTCTAACATCAAACGATTCTATAGTCAGGGCTGACAAAGCGTTGTGCGAAATTCTTGATGCGAATTTGATATGCATCTCGTAGATCCCGTGTGGTTTATCATGATCACACGAGTTACGTGACTTGACTTTTTAAGTGACGATATTTTGCGTCCTGCCGTATCATCCGCATTCCGCATCCCGCAATGTTGTGTCTTTATGTTGTATTGACTATAGTTGTTTTTTTTTTCTAAGCTCGACTCTCTCTGTAAACGTTTCTTTGAACACTGCACGATAATTTTTGTAATGGTAAGAATTGCACGATAATTGCTCGCTGCCTTACTGAGAAAATTGGGTGGCGCACATTAATTTCACAGACGGTCAACTTGTATCAAAATTATTTCTTCCTGGCTCCTACCTCCCACACTAGCTCGTAGTTGCCTATATTTACAACTCCACGGGTATAGACGACTTGTTAAGAATGATGTTTGCAGTGAGGGTCGAGCTTAAAAAACCATCGTTGGTTACCCGATGACCAAACACTTTATCCCGCTTCCAGGTGAATACTGCGGTAAGGATTTCGCCTACAAGTACAACTTTGACTGTCACCTGAGGCTGCACACGGGGGACCGGCGCTTCAGGTGGGTTCCGGTCAGGACGGGTCCGTTTGACCTCACCTGACCCCCCCCCCCCCCCCGGCGTCGGTCGGGGTGCGGTCGGCCGTCTCATTATACCCGCTCGTTTATCGCTGGCGGGGTTGTGCGGCGCCGGGCAGTGTCAGGACTAACGAGGGCCTGACGGACGGCCTCACCGGCGCCGGCGCCCGCTCAGACCGCGGCGGACCCGAGGTGGACGGTTTGTGGGCGCTTTGTGGACACGGGTGGACCGGTGGCGGAAAGCGGTGAATATTGGTGAACCCATGGTGGACCTATTTAAAACTATAACAAACTTCTTGAATTTGCGAGGTGTGACTGTCTTCTGAACGAAGATGAATAGCTAGTATACTCCATTTGCGATTTTATTGAGACTTTTCCATCCCATTTGTAATGTTTATCGCCCTGTAGGTAATTCAGAACTCGCTGTCTTCCTCCTCCCGTTGCCGTTATGGATTGGGGAGGCGGTCGGCGAAAAACTGAGATTTATTCATGCGTTTTTGATATCGGATAGAATCATCCAAACATTTATTTCTGTTGAAAGCAGTTCTGAATAGTTAATTGGATGTCGGCGAACTTTATGATATAGCGGTTTATTTGGGAGTTATTAAGCCGAACTTGTGGTAAATGGACTCCTTGCCATCGAATTAAGCTCCATTTGATTTGGTTCGCCGAGGGAATTCCGCTCCGATATTTTCCAGACTTCTATGGCATTGTGAGCCGCCCACGCGGAATATTTTGATTGGAAGTGGCATCGCACACGCCCCCGCTGAGTGGCACTGCAGTACTGCACGGCCGACTTGTTAGGGCGCTTTGTGCGGAGGTTTATGGCTTTTTGCTTCGTCTTTTTATCCGCTCTTGCTCATTAGAGTTTTCTCATAACTACCGTATTTGTTCTTTCAACGAGGACGGCTCTCTGACCCGTCTATATGTCGTCTTTGAAGATGTTTCGTCTCCGGACGATCAGCCGAGTCTCGCTGCTCCCGGGGCGCATTATCCCTGGCACGCGCCACTGCACCGGCGCCGAATCTCCGGCTCAAATTGTTGGGTATTTCTGCCACTTGTGCCGCCGGGAGCGATCCATCAGCTCGGCTTCAGCCGCTTCACAAACGTGTTCTTTCGGCGGTGAACCGAAGCTTTGGCGAGATTCCGCCATAAATTGGCGGAATCTTTCCGTCTCCAGTGGCTTCTGAGCCATTTTGATGGATGATCGCTTTGTCCCGCGGCGAGTCCCGAGTCGTCCCTCCAGCAGAGAGTTGACAGATATCGATGGATCTCGCTCTGAAGGAGCTTGACCTTTCATCAGCTGAGCTGCCGGCAACTAGTCGCCGGACAGGTCAGCCATCCGTTCACACGGCCGTGACAGCGGCACCCTCGTCCCCGGGATTCTCATGTAATGATCGTACGTTGGCCGCTCATCTGGGCACCGATCAACTGGAGTGAGCCCGTGCACACGCTCCCGCCTCCTCTACACGCTGGTGAGACAGGATGAGCGCCAGGCGAGGGAGAGGCTGAGTGTGGTAGGTGCCGGGAGAGAAAAGGGTTGATTGGGGATCAGAGGGTGGCATGCCGGGCTGGAGAAGAGAGGGGCTGTACCGTGTTCGCTGTGTGGAGCATGGTCCGAGTGCCGAGTGCGACCCTTTCCGCATAGCGGAGAGAGAAAAAGAGATGAAAGATAAGAATCATATCAATGAGAGGAGAGGAGAGAAGGGGAAAGGTAAACGAGACTGGACGTTCGCCGTACTCATGCTGTTATCAAGTACTCGAACTGAGTTTTTGCGATCCTGCAGCGTATCTCCCCCTGGCCCGTTCCCAATAAGTTGCGGCTGTGATGTCCAGACCCCGCTTTTCCACCTATCAGTGGAGTGGCCACTGAGCGTCCTGCCGGCACGCCCGACTGGGGTGACGCGCCTCCGTGCCGCGGGTGGTAGCTAACCGCCCACGTGTTCCGCCAGCCACTATCGGCACGATATGAGGCTCAGTCTCACGGGCACACAGGGCGGCAGCCGCAGCCGACGGGAAACCACCCGAGAGAGAGACCGACCGCCTCACGAAACACAGAACTGCTTCCAGATGATGTTAAAGTATTAACGGGGAGGCTGAAGAGCTTTTCTAGAACTCCATTGCACTTACTTTTGAATCAGGCGTTATGTGAAGTGACGGCCTAAATCTGGTGTTTTCCGTATCATGCTACCCAAATGGCCATTAGTGGTATATTGCTATTGGATACACGGCAACGCTTTTCTTACTTATTTCTAAGTATTGGACGCGGCACACATTTTATTTTTATTCTAAAATTAATGCGATCTTATATTACGAGATGTGATCGTTAAAAAAACTGAAAATACAAACAAATAGATACATTTGATGCTAAGCGTGGTAACAAGGAGACAGCCCGTTTTGACATCACTTATTTCCACACTTTATTTTGTTTTACGTTATTCGTGGTCACGTTGCGGACGGTTTTTAGCCCCGGCCGCTCACCGGCCGTAACCCTCCATAACTTCGCCCCCTGACCCGCCATGTCCTTTGTGGCCCCGCCCCTGACCGGCTGTCCCCGCCCTCGGCGCGCCCTCTGTGGCCCCGGCCCTGACCGGCTGTCCCCGCCCGCGGCGCATGTCTGTCCGCAGGTGTTCGGTATGCCAGACCGGGTTTGAGCGACGCGACAAACTGAAGGCCCACGAGCAGTCGTGCTCGCGGCGAATGGCGGCGGCCGCGGCGGCTGCTGCGGAGGCGGCGGGGGCGGGGGCGGCCGCCCACCCGCCGCCGCCGCCGCCCCCGCCGCCCCCGCCGGCCAGCGAGCCGCACCCGTACCCGTGGTCCATGGAGGCGCTGGAGCCGCACTGACCGGCCGAGCGGGGGTCGTCCTGCGGCGCTGTGTCGGTGCGCTAGCTACCTCTGCGGCGTACTGACTGCCGGCCGGGTCCGACCGTCACTCCCAGAGATCACCTGCGGCATTGTTCGCCGGACAGCACAGGGCTGGGTGACGCCGCTACCCCAAACACATACCGCTCGAAGGAAGGGCTTATGTTTGTGGCAGTTCGGTGATGACTTTATACAGGCCACCGGGCTGGGTGTGATGTGTGTAGTGTGCTACGCTGTTCTCATGACCATATTTCCATATTAGGACTGTCGGTAGTTGAACTGAGTGACATTGAAAGGATTGGGGACTACCTGGGCTGTGAGCTTGCATTCGTAGTGATCATTTGTTGTTACATGGTCAACTGAAGTGCTGAATGCATCGTCTATCTATGGAGCGTATCACAACTAACTAATCGTGTCCGATCAATGATTTTTTCTCTGCATCTCTATCAGGTATTATATTGTCGATGCATATGAGCCGACCGTGATCCATGACTCAGCCATTTATGGCAGCTTTTTCTGTGCATGTACCCATGATTGTATCGTTTCCTGTGGGCTACTTATTCCGTGTGTATCACCGTACCCACGAGACCTCTCAGTATGGCGCATGTTTATCCGTTAGCCTCAGCACGACAGCGGAACACGCCGGGCTCAGGCCTCAGTGTACGTACCGCTGTGAGCCGATCTCGCAGCCTCAGACTGTATTCTATCACATTTCCGTCCGCCAAACCGCCGTCACGGGGCTCATCGGCCCTCGTCTAACCGTACGTTCGTACCTCACGCACGAGTCGGTGGCCGTCGCCAGCCAGCTGCCCCACTGTTGGTCCAACCCGTGTGTGACGCCAGCCCAGCCCAGCCCACGGATACTGACGGGCCAGTGGGGTGCACCGGAAGGCGCTGATTGGTAATCGGATATCACCGGCCCGGCCCGACCGCCTTGTTCGGTATCACCTGTCTGATATTGACGCGCTGTCTATGATACCTGACGTGGTTTGTATGACCGTCTTGTTGGAACGTCGCTGGTCGCTGTGGTGTGTCTGAAGTATCTTTCCGCGGCTTGGCACTGATATCTATGCGTCTAACGGGCGGTGGTGGGTCCATGCTACCTCTCCCTGACCTCATTGGATGTCGTGTGGCGGCGCTGTTACCTGGTGGGAAGAGGGATGGAGACATACGGGGGGCAGAGTGGGAGACATCAGGGGCGGGTGGGTTGGGTTGGGAAGAGAGCTGGTGACCTGGTGAACAGAGTGTTCCGCGCTGTGGTGTGACGGACTGCAGTTAGTGACCGCTGTTGCGACTGGGTTGGAGGTGGAGGGGGGGGGGGGCAGACGGTCTGTGGCTCTCCATAGCGGCGCTCTAGCACCGGGCCATTGGACACTACGAGGGGGGGGGGACGACAAGTGGTCCCATCTGAAGCCCGCTATACAAGAACCGGCCAAGGGCTACTGAGCTAAATTACAGCTGGTCTGTTGATATGGGTCGCGGATGGTGTAGTTGTCCGATTATTCCGTATTTGATCATGTATTGTTGATGGCTACTGCCGATGTGCATGGCTCAATGAATGCAGCCATAAATTGGCCGATGTCCGTGAAGTGAAGTGCTGTCTACACAGTGAGGCGGCGCTCTCCGTCCTGGCCCCCATCCCGTACGCGGTAGGTACTGCCGCCACTGGGGCCACTGAGAGCACTAATGGGCCGGCCGTCGCCACCTGGGCGGCCTACCGGCTGAAAGCAAAGTTTTAATGCGCGCCGAATGCCGGCTGTTGTAATTTGTTCTCCTGTTTGCGGATTGTGCGCTGAAAGTCGGTGAAATGTATTTATATGTGCCCAAAGTTCCTGCCGCGGAGTTGCCGCCACGTTTTGTAATAAACTCATCGGACGGTGTCTGTGTTTTCCAGCGGAGGCTGGGAGCCGGCAGGGCGGACAAGTTGGGATGCTCTGCGGGGCCCGTATTATCCGCGGCCGGCCGCCGCCGTCTGCGCCATTTAGATGTGACATCTGGCCAGCTCTCGGCCATTATCTAAATTGATTTGATTCTTGGGCTTATTTCCGTTTACTGCGTGAAAAGTTGGCTGGTCGAGTGATGAAAAACACCAGAGCGGCGCCGTAATTGAATTGGATATAACTCATTTCTGCTATCTGATAGATTGGAGCATCTCGAGCAGAAAAATGTCGGCTGAGTCGCGCCACCAATCGTCGACGATGCGGCAAAGTTGGCGCCGCAACTACCAACAACCAGCTACCGGAGCTGGTTGGCTGATGGCAGGCGTGTGTGTTGTCTGGCAGTGGCGTGATCTATGGCGTGACATAGACACCAGCGACAGAACTCTGATGCGACTTGAGACGAGAGCCCAGAGATGACGGTGCAGAGTTGGGAAACTTTTGTTTTGGAGAGGATGCTTCAGCATTCTGACACGCTTCCTGCTTTTGACTTCTAGCTGCAAGCTTTTTTATCTTATTTTTTGGCTTTAGTCCGAGCGGACATTCGTGGCTCACGGCCTGAACGTCCGATGGTATGAATGTCACTGAGGTGGTTGACGTATGAATTAATCGGTTCCCCCTGTGTTTGGTTGTTATCACGAGCGATCCACACACAATTCACAGCGCGCTTAACGCTTAACCCCTTGGTGTATAATGCGTTCCCCCGCGGTAGGGTGCACCAATCCGCCATTGTTCCAGCCTGCTCGCCGAGAAGCCTGCTCGCCCTCTCTCTCTCTCTCTCTCTCGAGCCCGGCATTTGGCGCACATTTGCATCTTGTCTCCGGCGCTGGGAACAATGTGTGCACCGGTCCGTGGGCGCCGGGCGCTAATGTTTTCCAGTGGTCGCGCTCGCATGCCGCTTTAACTGGGCGCCTCTGATGGGCGGAGAGCGGTCCGCAGTGACCCGGCCCGTCAGGGGACGCCGCGTAACGCGCTCACCATGCCCGCCATAATATAGACGGGCACGAGCCACGACAGGTCGGCATCGACACCATTAGCAGCTCAACGCGACGGCACTGACAGGCTTACGTGATTTGATTTATTTATTTTTACTTTTTATTTTTCCGATATTTGTATCATGATTTTTTTTTAAAGAAATAGGCGTAGCCAGTTTTTCGCATGGGCGTTTCCCGGGTATAGAACGAAGAACTACGGCCCTTCTATCGCCCGATCGGGAAATTCTGGTCTAATACCAAAATTTAGGTCAGGCATTCAACAGTCAGCACACATGACACAGGGATAAGCCGCACACGGTCCACCCCATCTTAACATTTTATCTCGTTTGCGTCGCGACCGCTGCCAATGATGATGTGATGCGGGACGTCGGCAAAAGAAAGAGCTACATATACCTAAGCAAATTACTGAATGCGCTTGCCTGTTTTCTGCGGCGCTGGAGTTATTTCGTTGAGGCCATTTGCCGAAAATAATTAATAGGTTAAATTTGGCCATCAATAGCCTCTGGTGACTTGCTTTTTGATCTGGCCTGGCTTAAATATGAGTGAGTTAATTTAAGTAATTTAATTTTAGTAATTTTAGATAATTCTCAGTAATGTGTTACGCTCTTTCGAGCGCCGCATTCGCATACGGCGTGTCATGCATCGCCTATAACAAGTCGAATTATACGAGGGGTGTTTAACCCGTCTCCCCCTCCCCGGCCCGGCAAAAGTGCCGCCGAGTGGTTACCGGTCCGGCGCTGTGTAAAAGCCGTTGCAAAAGACATAGGTACAGGTCTCGCAGGTTTTAGCGGTAGATTTTGCACCTAGAAAATTTCAATTTAGTGTACTTCAGGCTATATCTTTGTCGTCTTAAGCTTTTAACCCTCGCCCGCACATGGGAGGGGGGTTGCCACCCCCCCCCCCCAAGTAGTTTTTCTGCTCTGCACTCAACATTTTTAGAGCTAGAAGCCTGATTTTTGTATAGCTGCTCCTCTATTTTTTCTTGATGTCCACTGAAAATTTAAAGCTTCTGTGGTTTTTGGTTTCAGAGATATGACCTTGTTTTTTCAGGTCATGTCATGACCCAAATGACCAATTCTCAACATCTTGCGTTGGCTATGGGCCTTGTGAGCTTTTGCCTTTTGACACCTTGATTTCGGCCTTTTTTTGCCAGTCTTACCTCCCACCTATCATGGAACATGCTGTTTGACGATGTACAGATGTCAAGGTCAGGGTCAAGGTCAACCTAGGTCATCTAAAATAATTGCGTTTTAGGCAATCTGAATGTACTTTTCGGGAAGTTTTTTGACTGCATTTTTGGTAAAAGCTTCTTAGATCATGATTTCATGTAATATGGACACATAAACAATCGGTGCACACATCAGTATACACACAGACACACACAGACATACAAACACATATCATTGACCTTGACCTAACTTGACCTGAAATGACCTCAGCAGCAAAAACCTGGTCGAGTAGTGTGACAAAGAGGCAGACATGTGCATGGATCCGAGAAAATGGATCTGGGATCTGATCCCACGGATCCTGATCTCGGATCCGTCGGGATCATAGATCCAGCTCTGTAATTTATCGAGAGATCCATAAGGATCACAGATCCGCGTCTCATTTTTTGCTTGAGATCCAGCGAGATCATAGATCCTCACTTATTTTTTGTTAACACATATATCCCAAAACAAGCACTTGTTTCAACTCACAAACGTTCTGTTTTAGTGATTTTATGTGATCGCACGTCATAATCCATAGTTTTGTGTCACTTATTGGCATAGAAACCCTTTAAAACATGGTTTCAAATGTGGTGCATGGTGGGATCCACTCAGATCATAGATCCATGTTCTTAATTTATCGTCAGATCATATGAGATCATAGATACAAGATGTATTTTTCACGCCGGATCCGGTGGGATCATAGATCCCAACCTGTACTTTGCTTCGAGATCCACTGAGATCATAGATCCATCACTCGGATCCATGCACATGTCTGCAAAGAGGGTCTAACCGCGGTATATGATAAGCAGCGCACTTGATATCCAACGGTGACCCAAAACAGCAACATTTTTAGTTTGACCTGACCTGGAAGGTCAATGACTGACCTGAGAAGGTAAAACTGGGTATCATTGGATTTGTCTCTTCCCAAAGAATCTTTTTGGTCCTACCGCGAAGCTCTTTCTCCAACAGGAACGAAATGGCGCGGGGGGTGGCAACCCCCCCCCCCATGTGCGTTCTAGGATGGGAAAATGGCATGTGCGGGCGAGGGTTAAGAGTTGAAGATGCGTCATGCGATTGACTTGTTGGTTCACAAGCCAGCCATGATCATGTAAAATGGCTTCATCGTAGATCGATTAGTTTCTGAGATATAACCGGAAATGTAAAAGTGCAAAACCTACCGCTTAATCTCGCGAGAGCGGTACGTATCGGAGTCTGACGTTAGCACCAGGTGCTGAAGCGTTGCCTGTCACATATCATCTTGACCTCATCCGATTAGTAGACCGGTGATTGACTGGGTCCGATTAGACCAGACGCTGCCACTTGCCGGGCTGATATGACCTGATCAGGCAAACCTCACAAGCACCACGCAGTGTTGTTGACTGTTGAGTGGCAAAGTGACACGGTTATGAATGACAGAGTTAACCCGGCAGTTGCTGGGGTATTTCGCCACCCACCGTTTGCTGGGGGGGGGGGGGTTAAACGCCCCCAGCCGATAACTCGAGAACCAATAGGCGCAGCGAAACGCACGAGGCGGCAAACGAAAGAACGCGACGAGACGCTTCAGATGAGTACTTTAAAGTTGAATTTTGAGGTCACAGGTCGGATCAAGGTCAGGTCAAACACCTGAAATCGGGCTTTCAGTAGCATGGACTTCAGGACTTCGCAATGGGCGCCTCTCGTCATAAACTCTGTCAAAACGGTGCACAATCCATCATATAAGACCTACAAGAGTGTCAGCTCCATGTAGGGGTCAGTCAAGCATAGGTCAGGGTCAAGGTCAGGTCAACCGGGTAGGCAAATATCCTCGAAAATCAAAACTGATATTCGCAGCCTGTGACGCATGTTTTATGGGTAATTTGGGGCGTAGAACACGATGGTGACATTCATTTTATCATATATGTACGTGTTTGGCTCAAAAAGTTCAATTTAAGAAATGCATGTATCATGGTCGTGAAGTAGTCACGAGAAATTGCCAAGATTCAGTTCAAGATTTTGGAAAATGCGGAACGATAATCAATAATCGAAGATAGCCATTTGATTGTTCACGGTATTGGCAGTCTAATGGCGTTTACGGCATGTCTGTATGTCTATTCTGTGATTTTATATGATTTTTTGAACATATGCCGTTTTTGGTCGAAAACTCAGAAATCATGACGTCACTAAAACCTCGATATCTCAAAAATTTTCTGACCGATTTTTTTGAAACTTTGTCACAATACACTTCAATCAATTCCCTACAGGTACCCAAAATTTGGCGCGCCTGCGGCGCGCCGTTTTTATGCTATGGCCCGGCGAAAAAAGTGGGGGCGTTTAACGCCCCCCCCCCCCAGCAACTCGCGGGTTAAGTGTTGGCGCGGATATCGCCTATTGGGTAAGTTCGTTATGAAAGTAAAATTCTTGTAGGAGCTCCATTTGATATCGACCTGAACAATTTTTGCGCCTTCCGTCACCTTACGTTGGTTGCAGATATATTTTAGCATAGCTACTAGCATACCTACTACATAAATTCGGCCCGGCCCGGACCCTGGCCGCAGTCCGGGAGGAGCTGCACTGCCCCGTGTGTCTGGAGCTGCTCCGGAGAGCCACCACCCTGGGCTGCGGCCACACCTTCTGCAGTGGCTGTCTGCAGAAACACCGCGATGCTTCCTGCAGCGGGCATGTGTGCCCGCTGTGCCGCAGACTGATCACAGCGGAGGTGATATCAGTCACTATTGAAAACGTCATCCGTAAAATGGATG